GTGTATTAATTCTTGTATGATACCCTGTAATACAATAAATTCCCTGTGTAATTAGTTCCTTTACAGAGCAGTGTTTATACCAAACTTGTACCTCATTGTTTGGCTCTAATGAGACAAAGCACACCTTTCCCTGCCCCAACGGGAATACCATGTCAGCAGGATTTACTTGCTCCACAATCCCTTTGCAGTGTGAATGGTTATGCCAACATGAATACACTATGGTTCTGGCTTGGTTAGGCAAGCATAAAATCTTGTTAGGAAATCTTAAGCAACCTAGGAAATCAACTTGATGTAATTCTTGACCATTCATAACTACATTAGGATATTGCAACTCATGATGTAACACGTGATTCTGTGACAGGTATTCCTATTGATAACAGTTGATAACTATTCTGATATACACCACTAGATGGCATCAGTGAAGTTGCCCTACAGATATTACCCTGACATCCCAACCAACTATTAACCCACAGATCTCTATGTTCATAGGCAAACCTACTTATTTCTGGTAGTTCTCCATTCCCCAGTGGTGTATGGTTATTATCTAAGGCTTGAGCCATGATCTTAAAATCTGTAGATAGTTCAGTTTGCATAGACAAACACACGACATTCCATGAATCCTGTCTTAATTTCTTAATTACACTGATTAATATTTCTTCTGTGTGTAGGATTGCTGAACTATGTGTCTTTACTACTTTTTGTGTCAAACCTTCCACTAATGTATTGATCGTTCTCTGTGTTTGTATCCCTTTGGAGTTTAACATACCTTCTGACTGGAGTGTTGTAGTCATACTAGAGATGTCAATCAAATTTACAAATCCTAACCCTGTACCCACACCTCCCAAAACCGTACCCAGGATATCCCTCCTATTCCTAGTCCTGTTTCGTGTCGCCCATCTGACTAACGCCTTTTCAATAGTAGATGTGACCCTGGAACAGTTCTGGAAATGTGATGAAACTGACCAATCTGTTAATTTTATTTGCCAAGTGATCAATTGGAAAGTAGCATTCCTGACTAAAGGGAATCCCTGTATTAGAACACAATAACACTTCATTGTCATACGGTTTGGCTGTTAATCACTCCCCTCACTTATTACATCCCTCCTATTGGCAATGAAGTGGATGAGACACTTAGACTCTATAAAACCCACCAGAGATAATAGAGAGAGAGAATGCATCCTGCAGTGCATCTACTTATGTGAATGCACAACCCATTGCCTCAATAGAACTATTTACATATCATATTGGAGATGATATACGTCAGGGGAGGGCTGGCAGCCTTAGGCCTGGGGGGCAAAACCAGTCAAGTGGCCCATTGCACCACCAAATCAGTTCACCATCCATGCCCACTTTTTCCTGGTTTTATAACGGATATTGATGTTATGCTAATCAGTAGCTCTTTGCCATACCCGCTCCTTCACGGCTCCAGGCACTGCTTGTTGTGAGTGTGAGCCACTGTAAATTAGGGGCAGAGGGCACTTGCACTGCGGTAAAGATGGGGCTGGACAGGAGGAGAGTGCAGTGCAATCAGTGCACTCCCCTCCTGTGGGTCACCAGTAGACTGGTGCACCTGCCCAGGATCAGTGCCGGTGCAAGGATTTTTGCCGCCCTAGACAAAATAAAAATTTGCTGCCCCCCATGTGACATCACAATGCCCCACCCATATGAACTAACGCCAGTGCTGCACACAGTGTGTGTTTACATTAAAAAAGCCTGCAGGGACCAGCTATAGACACCAGAACCACTTCATTAAGCTATAGTGTCCCTTTAATGTGAGGTACATTATAGATTAGTGTCACTAATAATATACTAGATTGCCTACTTACAAGTAGATGAGGATGATGATGGGCTGCAGTTTGGCTCCACTGGTCTGGTGTAGAACAGGATCTCTGGAGGCTGTTTGGAACTGTGGTCACAAAATTCAATGTTCTGGGAGAATTGGAAGCAGCTCCATTTTTTGGGGCCCCTTACACAGCTCAAAGTCTGGGCCCCAGGGCCTGACGGTGAGTATGCCCATAAGGCCCACTCATAAGTTCCACCCACCCATGAGTTTGCTCACAGGGAGTGGAGTGTGTAGGGGATGTGTTATGTGTTGTTGTAGAGGATCTAATATGTGTGCTTATGGTATGTAGTGTATAGGGTTACCAGTTTGTGCAGGTGATGTAGTGTGTTTGTGTGTAGTGGAAGCAGTGTGTATTTGTGTATAAGGGATGTATTATGTGTTTCTGGTTGTGTGTAAGGGATGCATTGTGTGAATCTGTGTTTGTATGCATAAGGGATGCAAGGTGTGTGTCTGTATGTGTGTGCATTGAGTGTAAGAGATGCATTGTGTTTCTGTGTGTATGTAAGAAAAGAAGTGTGTGTGTTTGCATGTGTGTGTACGGGTTTGCATTGTCTGTTTCTGTGTATGTGTGCAAAGGATGCATTGTCTTTGTGTGTAAGGGTTGCATTGTGTGTGTGTGTGTGTAATGGATGCATTGTGTGTTTCTCTGTGTGTAAGGGAAGCATGTTGTGTTTCTGTGTATGTATAGGGATGCATTGTGTGTGTGTGTGTGCGCGCACGTAGTGTGAAAGAGCTCCCTGTCTTGGCCCCTGTCCTATAGAGCTGCCCCTTCTGTCCCGTAGAGCTCTCCCCTGCACCTTAGTGGTCTCTCCTCTCCCCCACCCTCCCCTAGCGGTCTCTTCTCACACTCACCCACCCTCCCTGTGCTCTTCTCACTCCTCCCTCTATGTGTTCTCCTCACACCCCCTGTGTTCGTCTTACCCCCCTCCTCCCTGTGTTCTTCATACTTCCCCCCTTGGTCGTCTTACTCCCCCACCTGTTCTTCTTAACCCCCCTTCTTCTTATTGCTCCCCTTCTTCTTCTTCTTGCCTTCTTCTTCTTCTTCTTACTCCCCCCATTTCTTCATACTCACCTTCTTCTTACCCCCTCTTCTTCTTCTTCTCCCCACTCTTCTTCTTCTTACTCCCCACTCTTTTCTTACTCACCTTCTTTTTCTTCTTCTTACCCCCTCTTTCTTATCTCCTTCTTACTCCGCCCTCCCCTTTCTTATTCCTCTCCCTCTTACTCAGCCCTCCCCTTTTCTTACTTCCCCTCTTTCCCTCTTCTTACCCCTCTTCTTCTTCTTACTCCCCCACTCTTCTTCTTCTTACTCCCCACTCTTCTTCTTCTTACTCCCCACTCTTTTTCTTACTCACCCCTTCTTCTTACCCCCCTCTTTTTCTTATCTCCCCTCATGTACCCCTCCCTCTTCTTACTCCCCCCACTCCCTCTTCTACTCCCCTCCCCTCTTCTTTATTCCCCCCTCACTTTATCCCCTCCCTCTTCTTATCCCCCCCTTCTTATTCCCCTCTCTTCTTACCCCTTCCCCTCCTCCCTCTCTTCTTACCCCCTCCCCTGTAGCGTGGCCGAGCTGCACTCCGGTCCGCGGTGGCCGGCCGGCCAGAGTGATAGGAAGGTGCACACTCAGTGTGCACTTCCTGTCAGTCCGGTCGGTAACAGGAAACAGAAACTCCGCGCGGAACAGGAGTTTCTGTTTCCTGTAATCGGCCGGACTGACAGGAAGTGCACACTCAGTGTGCACCCTCCTATCACTCCGGCCCGGCCGGCTGGCCACCGCGGACCGGAGTGCAGCTCGGCCACGCTACAGGGGAGGGGAGGGGAGAAGCTGCAGCCGCCTGAGGCTCTTAACAGAGCGCTCAGGCGGCTGCAGTATTTAAAGGGCCGGCCCGCCGCGGCCGGCCTTACAGGAATTTAGGGCGGCCTGGGGGGCAATTGCCCAGCCCGCCCCGATATACGTCTTAGTGAGCTGATTTGGAAAGGGCCACTAGAGACTACTGTATTCTCCTGACACTCAGGTCTAGTCCCATTATCCATTAGTGAAGGAGTTGTATGAATATAGGTCAAAGGAGGAGCCAGGGTTGTAGGCTCTATCCCTTCCTCTATATTCAACAAGACCTTCACTTCCCCACCCTTATTGTGTCCTACTGTTCCCCAATTTATCCCCTTTACGATAAATTTATCCACTATAATTTGCGTTATGTGATACTCTCTAAGATTGCTGTTAACATAATAAATAGGGTTAGTAATGTTCGATTCCAGATTAATATTTTCACCCTCCAAATATACCACCCATTTTCCCCAACCAGCCATTTACATTCCCAATGTTCCTCATTTCCCTTATTGTCTTTCCAGAATCCCTTGATGGAATCATGTTGTTTTGTCCCAACTATCTCTACCACCCACCCAAAATCAAATATCACATCCACACATGGAACTTGTAGATTGTCACTGCTCCAAATCCTAGTCCATCCAGATATATCATGTGCATAATTCCCTCTCCGGTGCCTGCTTAAAGGAGTAGTATTTAATTGGGAACCATTTTTTTGTTAAGTTGTCTGTAAAGTCTTTGGTGGATGGATCTGTATGGAACTGGTGTTGGTTTGGCCTGTGACAAGCTGTTCCATCAAGACCCAGGTGAGTATCATAATGTTGAGTGACATCTTTTCTCAGTAGTTTTTGAAAAATCTGTAAGAGATCAAGAAGCAGCATCAGTTCTTAGCAGATAACTCTGAATCTGGGGAACAAGCCCCTTTATATATTTTAAATTGGTCTGCATGTACCCACTTTTATCCTGGCTGCCTTCTGGCCTTTTTGGGGTTAGACCATTGCACTTTTAAAACAGTTGTGCCCAATGTGTCAAGGATTACATAAGGCCCTTCCCAATTTGCATCCCATGGAGAATTTTTGCGAAAATTTTTAATCATTACTAATCCCCCCCTTCTCAAACAGAGTTTGAGGTGTAGATAACATTTTACCTTCTGTTGGGGCCATATTTGAGGCAGCAAAAAGTAGTAAGGAGTTCAGTTGCTCCTGAATTTGGGAGAGGTATTGGTCTCTAGACACAGATTCTCTCAGTGGAGTTTACAGTTGTGGTTCACCTGGGTGGCCTAATGCCATCTGTCTCCCTGTCATAAGCTCATATGGAGAACATCTAGTAGCGCTAGAGGGTGTAGCTCTGATAGCCATGAGTACTGCAGGAAGATGATTAACCCACAATTTACCGTATTATACTAGCATTTTAGATAACCTGGACTTTAGAGTGTGATTCATCCTTTCCACTATACCTGATGACTGGGGATGGTATGGTATATGAAATCTCTGTTGAATTTGCATGACCTGTCCTGTAAAATGGGTGCCCCTGTCTGATTCAATTATTTCAGGGAAGCCCCAGCATGGAAAGACATGTTCCCATAATGCTTTGGCCGTGGCTAGTGCAGAGTCTCTCCTTAGGGGAATTACCTCTATCCACTTTGAAAATGTGTCAACAATTACCAAACCATATCTAAGACCCCCCTTGGACAATGGAAGTGGGCCTATGAAATCAATCTGTATTGATTTCCAGGGACCATCTGCAACTGGCACTCTCTGAAATATAGGTCGTGGATTTACTTGGGCATAAATAAGACATTCTAAACATCCGAAAATCTACCGTCAATCTCCAAGTGCCATTTTTCTTACGTACTTGCCACAAGGGTGAGTTATTGGAGGAAGAACATTTCCTAATGATGCCCTGTTTCTCCAATTGATCAATTATTTGTGCCACGGGTTCAATGGCTTCTGTTGGAAACCTGTTTTGTCTCTGTGGAGGAGCATTAGGTCCCACAATGTTAATTTCACTAGCTTTTAGAATGCCACAATCATTTTTATGCTGAGCCCAAATTTCTGGGAAATCCAAAATCAATTTACATAGATCAGAGTTATCACTAATATCTGGCCACACTCTGTCTGAAGGAACATAGGCGATGGATGCCACAGGGCTTAAAGAAGTATCATCTAAGGCTTTCTCCCTCTTGTATCTCTCCACAAAACATTATTAGAAAGGTCTACCAGCCTTCCTTCTGTTCTCATTACGTCTGCACCCAGTATAGTACCTTCAGTGTTTTTACTTTGCCATATTGGTATTTTCCTATTCCACTGAGCACTTAAAGTCATACTCACTTTTGGTATAAGAAAAGCCTGAGACTGGGATCCCCCAAGTCCTACAAGAAAGGTCTGTTTTGCCCCAGAAGGGGTACTTGGTGGTAGGTCAGTAAGGGTCACTGAAGCTCCTGTATCGATGAGAATCTTTGTATGATGTCCTGCATTAATTCCGCTCACATAGGGGCGTCCTGCATGGTCCCTAGAAATTTAGCAGTCTGCAGGGTGGCAGATGCCCTGCTTTTAACAATTGGTGTAATGGACAAAGGGTCCCTAAAAGGTTGGTTTAGTTATATGGGGGGTTAATATCGGAATATGACGACTATCAAACCCATCCAGTACAAGGTTTCCCCTGTTTACCTCTTGGTCCTCATTTTCTGCAATATCAGATGCCTCTTCTTCCTCTGCACACATATCCCTATGGCCACATACAGCAACTGGGGTTTGTGCAGCTAAACCTGTTCTAAGCGATGAAATTAGCTCTCCTCTCGCTTCATAATTGTCCTCTAATGTACTTACATAAGCATTTAAGCCACATGTTGGAAAATCATTATATTTCTGAGTACTTACACAGGCCACAGTAGTGTGCCCCAAAACTATCCGATTTAACTGATTTCTTAATAACATCAACAATTTCATGCAATTTGGGATTTTCTGTTTATCCTTATTCAGACACCATTTTTTATTATCTACTTTCATGTTCTCTTTTTTGCATTGTAACCACATGCTATGCATTTTCTTAAATTCATTTTTATTATCAAACATTAGTGCATCAAAACTGCTAGATGCTGCATACTCTGCTACAATTTCCATTCTTACTTAAAATAAAGCTAAAAGTACTTACACGATTTGTGTCTTCAGACTGCAGGCAAATCAAATGGTGTGCACCCCACTTTGAATCCTTGGTCTGGCTATTTTACGATCCTCCAGAAGTGATTGCCGGCTTACAAACTGCGTCTCACTCTGGTTGCCTCTGTAGGATCCCGCAAGTCCTGGCCCTGGATGTATTGCCGAAAACGCTCTCAAAAAATAAAACAAAAATTGGTTCAGTTATTTTGTCCCCTTTTATAGCTCACATGTATCTGGAGAAGACTGGATTGTTCCCCCCTCGCAAGTGAGCTTAAAAGGTGGTAGAAAATAATAACATGGCTTGCCAAATGTAATAAACGTTTAACTTGCAGGTTGGAATAAACTTGGAATTAATAATAACATTAATAACTTAAAAACAAAGTGTAAAGTCAGAGTCCACACTCCTTGCTTTCGGCAATTCAATAATATTTATTAATAGAGGCCAATCAAACTAATAAACAATACATATACATTTGAAATAGGCTAGTATATGTTGCTACTAAAACTAATCATTGACTGAATGGAAAGTAGGCTAAATTAACATAGTAAAACAGGCATAGACACGTGATACAGTTACCACTCCATTGATCGTCAGCTGAGAGTAAGAGAGAGAGGGTGTGTATAGTGGGGGGAGAGAGGGAGAGGGTGAGGAGGGTGAATTCAAAGAGACAGAAAATGTGCTATTCACAGGGCTTTAAACAGGTTAGTCCCTCCTTCTGCTGGACACACCTCCCTTAGTCAATCCCTTAGGATGTAACAGAACCAGAGTGCCTCCTGGGGGAAGGGGGATTGCATTGGAAGGGAATGGAGGAGGAGTTTATCAGCAACCCAACTGGTTTTGCCTGGTGAAAGGCCATGTGCTTCACAGAGGACTCCATTGTTGTCTAAGGGTAGAATGGGGGCTTGAATCCCTGTATTAGAACACAGTAACACTTCATTGGCATACAGTTTGGCTGTTAATCACTCCCCCCACTTATTACACCAGACATTTCAGTAACAGTTCGAGTTCAGTGTTCGGCGATTTAATGGCACATTTTGAAAAGCTGCAGGGCAGCCAATGAACAAGCGTTTGACTCATGTGCCCTTAGAAGCCATCACAGCCATGCCTACTAATGGCATGGCTGTGATTGGCCAGTGCAGCATGTGACCCAGCCTCTATATAAGCTGGAGTCACGTAGCGCCGCACGTCACATGAGGTCTTATTAGTGTAGGGAGAGAATGTTGCAGCTGTGAGGGACTACAGCTATTATTTTTGTGGGTGCTATACTAAATTTTTGTAACTGCCCTATAATATAATCAATCAGTAAATGATATTAATACACAGATATACGCTTTCCCTGAATACCATTGATAACAGGTGTGATGTTCAGACTATGATCTGTGATATCACCTGTTACAGATCCCTTACCTTATTTTGTATAGAGCAATCCAGCTACATTCTACATGAATCCAATCGATGCACTGTATTATACGATGACCAATAAAACCCTTACTACTCTTACATTGTTGGTTTAAAAAAAGCACACTTTTTTGTGGTAAATAGAACATTTGCGGCCTGCGGTGCATTTCTTGCAGTCCAATAAAACCATTAAATACTACTCTTACATTTTTGAGACAGTGAAGTAACTGTATTAATTACGTCTGTCACACTGTTGTGTGACCTCTAGAAATGTTTTCTCTTTAAGACACCGGCACTGCCTTACTGTCAGTGAACTTAATTGTTGACTATTGGTGATTACATTGTTGCCTGACATAAACCATCTATTAGTTTGGTGGGTGAACGCAAAAAATGAGGAGAGCGTCAAATAAGGAACGTGGCCCTGGTTGTGGTGCTGCTGGTGTTGGTCGAGCTCCTGTTGCAGGGAGAGGACGTGGTCAATCTGTGCCAGCTACACACACAAGTGAAACACCTTCCTCAGGTGCTAGTAAGCGACAGAACCTTCAGCGTTATTTGGTAGGCCCGAATGCCGCTCTACGAATGGTGAGGAGGGCAGGGTTGAGGAATGGGTGTAAGATGATGTGGAGGACGATGAGGTCCTAGACCCCACATGGAATCAAGGTCATGCGAGTGACTTGTGCAGTTTGAAGGAAGAGGCGGTGGTCGCACAGAGGCACCAGCACAGCATAAGAGGGAGCAGGGTGCAAAAGCGGAGCAGCCGTCCCCTAGACAGTACGCCTGTTACTGCCCACCGCACCCAGGGACCGAGCACACCAAAGCCAGCTCCAAGGAGTTCCCTGGAGTGGCAGTTCTTCAGACAATGTGCTGACGACAAGACACGAGTGGTTTGCACGCTGTGCAATCAGAGCCTGAAGCGAGGCATATATGTTCTAAACCTGAGCACAACCTGCATGACCAGGCATCTATATGCAAAGCACGAGCTGCAGTGGAGTAAGCACCTCAAAAACCAAGAAAGGTCTCAGGCTCCTCCTGCTTCCTCTTCTGCTGCTGTCTCTGCCTCTTCCTCCACCTCTGGAGTCACAGTGGCACCTGCCACCCCACAAACAGAGGATGTGGCAGCAACGCCACCACATCCGCCACCATCCCCAAGCATCTCCACACTGTCCCATGGAAGCGTTCAGCTGTCCATCTCCCAAACACTGGAGAGAAAGAAGAAGGACCCCCCTACCCACCCACGATCCCTGGCCATGAATGCCAGCATTTCAAAATTCCTGGCCTTTGAGACCGATGAGTGGTTGCTGCCACTGAGCCTCAAGCCCGGCCTGGTGGTGTGCGATAATTGGCAAAATCTCATAGCAGCTCTGGGCCTAGCCGGTTTGACGCACAGCCCTTTCCTGGCGCATGTGCTGAATTTGGTGGTGCAGAAATTCCTGAAAAACTACCCAGATATATCAGAGCTGCTGCAGAAAGTGCGGGCTGTCTGTGCGCGCTTTCGGCGTTCTTACCCTGCTGCTGCTCGTCTGTCTGTGCTGCAGCATAATTTAGGCCTTCCCACTCACCGCCTCATATGCAAAGTACCCACAAGGTGGAACTCCACCTTGCACATGCTGGAGAGACTGTGCGAGCAGCAGCAGGCAATAGTGGTGTAATGACATGAAGGGGTGCTGCCCTGGAGCAGCACTGTCCCTTTAAATGTGGGAACCACTATAGCAAAGAAATAAGTGCCAAGACACAAATGAAATAGGTTAAATCAAGAAATATATATATGTACAGGGAACCAAAGCAGAAAGTAAAACAAAATATATACATACACAGACAAGGCCACAAAATATATACACTGTAAATCAAAATAAGCACAAATCGTGCAGGCAACAAATACCGTAACAGTCCTTAGGTATTAGGGTAGGATTGTGCAGCTACCACGGGTATCAGGTAGGGCACAGATCCAAAGTCACAAGACTAATGTAGTGACAACAAGAACGAATAAATCAGCAAGGCTGCAGGGACAGGATCGCTGGTAGTAAATCAGAGACCACGGAGCCAGAGCACTGGATCGGAGGACACAGCAACGAAGGACCAGGAGAACACAGTAACGCAGGATCAGGAGGACACAGGATGAAGACCAGGAGAACACAGGACCAAGTCACAGTATGCAGGAGCCAGGAACACAGGAGACCAGGGAAACAGGAAACAAAAGGTAATGATCTGGCAAGGAGTGAGGGGAGAAACCAAACTAAATAGGTGCTAAACAAGGACCAGGTGAAGTGCTTAATGAAAAGAAATCAGGAACAGTGTGTGACGAAATGCCTTTTGTCCCTGGATTGTTAGGTGACAAGCTGCCCTTTGCCCCCGGCTTTTGGAGGAGCCTGATTGCCAGCCTCCTTCCTCATGACTATGGCCCTGGGGTGTATTGCCATTTAAAAAAGACTATTTGGGGCTTATTGGCTTCTAAAGACAGTTTCTTCCCATTTGAATCCATGGGAAGGTGTGTTTCTTCCCCTCCCCCGTTTCCTGTCTATTGTTCTCCAGCAGGGCGTTGTCCCAGGCACACTGCCAAACCAGTTGGAACTGACTGCTTTTGTCCCTCCTTGGTTTCTCAACAGCCCTTGCTATGCTTTACCCCATGGAAAATCTACTCTGTTCATGGGATCTGAGCGCTGTTCACCTAGATTGGGCGCTCAGATCCGAGCTATCTGGGGATAGGTTAAATGTGGGGGTTCTGTGTAATAAAATAAGAATTATGTATTTTTATGTACTTTTACGTATTTTGCTGTTAGTGTTAAATGTAGATATTTTCTGTACCTGGAGATAATTGAGTTTACTGCAGTGCCTTAAGCCAATTATCTCCAGGATGGAGAGGAGGGATTTCATTGTGTATGTGAGAGTGTTATCATGTTAATTAGTGTTCCCATTGGTTTGTGTCCCTTTTGTCACAGTTTACCACCAGGTCCAGGGGGTGTGCCTCTGACCTGAAAACTTGTATATAAGAGTAATAAACGCTCATTGGAGTCAGATCATCTTGTACCTTCATGAAGTTTCGGCTCATGTTTGGGGGATTGGAGAAACTACACTCTGGGGATTGCTATAATCACTATAATCCCCAGGGTATAATCACTAAGCTCTGCTAAGAGCTTGTTCCTGTTCCTGCTCTCTGGAATTCGGAGAGAGGTCGACCTGCTGGAAGCTGGACCCTGGTCCTGGGTCCAGAGTGGGTGGAGACGGCGAGACCCCAACCAAGCTGCGGCGGTTCGTGGGGTCTGCAGTGGTTATGGTGTCAGGCAGAGTGCTTGGAGTCCTCGGAAAGCACTAGGAGCATCCGTCGGCGGAAGGTACCCGGTCGGGGTGCCAGCGGTTCCGTTACACAGTGCCAAACAGAAACAGTGGTGAGTGTGAGTACTGCACGAGGGCAAGTCAACTAAGCAGTGTCGTGACAAGTGGAGTTTCAGCTGTAGCACGCATGGGTCAGTCGCTCTGCGGAACAGCAGCACTTCACCACCAATGAGTGGGCCTCCATGCGAGACCTGTGTGCCATGTTGCACTGTTTCGAGTACTCCACCAACATGGCCAGTGCTGATGATGATGTTCTCAGCCTTACTATCCCGCTTCTATGTCTCCTTGAAAAAACGCTTCGGGCGAAGATGGAAGAGGATGTGGCACAGGAGGAAGAGGGTTATCAGGCCAGTCATTCACAAGTGGCTCGGAGGGTGGGTTCCTGCACCAGCATAGGCCAGGTACACAATTGTCCATCCATGGCACAGTTCTGGGGGATGAGGAGGAGGAACCATGTTCACAGCAGGTTGGCACCCAACGCAGCTCTTGGGCTTCACTGGAGCATGGCTGGGCGATACAGAGAACACAGACGATACACCTCCCACAGACGACAGCTTGTCCTTGCCTCTGGGCAGCCTGGCACACATGATCGACTACATGCTGCAGTGCCTGCGCAACAACTGCCGAGTTGCCCACATTCTAACTTGTGCTGATTACTGGGTGACCACCCTGCTTGATCCCCGTTAGAAGGACAACGTGCCAGCCTTAATTCCCTCACTGGAGCGTGATCGGAAGATGAGCAACTACAAGCGCACGTTGGTAGACGCGCTGCTGAGGGCATTCCCAACTGACACCGGGGGCTCAGTGGAAGCACAAGGCGAAGGCAGAGGAGGAGGAAGAAGTCACCAATGCAGCTGGGGCACCGCCAGCACCTCAGAAGGCAGGATTAGCGTGGTCAAAATGTGCAAAAGCTTTGTCAGCATGCCACAACAACCAGCACCACCAGCTGATCTGGAACATCTTAGCAGGAGGTAGCATTTCAGTAACATGGTGGAACAGTACGTGTGCACACGCCTACACGTACTGACTGATGGGTCTGCCCCATTCAACTTCTGAGTCTCCAAATTGGACACATGGCCTGAGCTTGCCCTTTATGCCTTGGAGGTGCTGGCCTGACCTGCAGCCAGTGTATTATCTGAACGTGTGTTTAGCACGGCAGGGGGCATTATCACAGACAAGCGCAGCCGCCTGTCCACAGCCAACGTGGACAAGCTCACGTTTATTAAAATGAACCAGGCATGGATCCCACCAGACTTGTCTGTACCTTGTGTAGAATAGACATTTATACCGGCCTCACCCACTTATTGTTATACTCAAGTGCACTTATTCTTTGTTTTTGTTTTTTTAATATGTCCCAATATTTTGAGGGCTACCCCAATAAAAAAACAAACAAAAAAACCCCCACAAAAACAAATAAAACAGTGTTGCTACCTCCTCCTCCTCCAACGCCGCATCCTCCTTCACCGCCTCCTCAACCTCCTACTCCACATCCACCACCTCCTCCTAGTTCAAGATGATTATTTTTATGTTATTTCCCTATCCACATTTTGTTTGCAGGGCACTTGTCCTACTCTTACCCCCATTTGACTTCCTTTTGCAGCACTGTAGCCCTTTCCAGGACTTTTTTAGAGCCGTTTTAGTGCACAAAAGTTCAGGTCCCCATTGACTTCAATGGGGTTTGGGGTAAGTTCGAGTCCGAACTCGAACTTTTTCCCGAAGTTTGGCCGAACCCTAACATCCAGGTGTCTGCTCAACTCTAGTCTTAAACACTTCTTCACCTCTCGACAATGGAACTTTGTAAGATTCTGTTAGATTTTTTATTTTTTTTTATTTTTTAAGTAAAATTAATTACTTAGTGTTATCTGTCATTGGTAATCCTGTCTTGTGTGAAACTGTGTAGCACATAGTTAGTATTACACCTATTCCACTAACGTTAGTAAATAATGACATTTCTTCATTGATATTTAGTGATGTCCCGAACGGTTCGCTGGCGAATAGTTCCTGGTGAACATAGCATGTTCGCCACGGATGGCGAACATATGCAATGTTCGGTCCGCCCCCTATTAATTTACTAATACTAAGTAAAAATTACTTAGTATTAGTAAATTGTGCCCCTACTCGCAATACCGCGAGTAGGGGCATGTCTATTAAACAGTGAGCAGCCTGTGGCTGCTGCAAAAAATACTGGTCGTTAAACCAAAAAAATTCCTTGATAAGACAAAAAGCATACAATCAATCAGAAAATCAATCTGTTTCCTCGCAATAGAGGAATGTTGTTGCAACCAATCCCCTATTGCCCATAGGCCTTTTTGATGGGGGATATTGGTATACAGAGAAACTACATCTACTGAAGCTAGAATGTAGTTTGGTTTCCATTCTATTGATTGTAAATCATTTAGAAGATGTTTAGAATCTTTAATATATGAGGGTATCTTAGTTACATATGGTTGTAAAAAGAAATCTATGTAAGCCGAAAGGTTACAGGAAAGTGAATCAATGCCACTTATAATGGGGCGACCTGATGGTTGCGAGAGAGATTTATATTTATTTTTTTATTTATATTTATTCGTATTTTTTTATTCATTTTTATTTTTATTTTTATTTTCACATTTATATTTATATTTATTTTTATATTTTATGTTTTTTTATATTATTTTTATTTCATATTTATATTTATTTTTATTTTCTTTTT